CGTGGGAGCACGCTTAGGAGCGGCTTCGGCCGCACCAGCCGCCTGTGCTCTCTTCCGCATCCGGTCTTCTTGATTTGCTTATAACACCGGACCCAAGTGTGAGGGGAGAGAGTGTGATAGATGCAACGCAAGTCTACTCTCATTGGAATCTAATTCTCGCACACAGAAACCACTCTGCCACACCTTTTTGTAGAGCACATGGTGGATCCCATTAGATACGACGCTCGAACTTTTATGTACTGTGCTTTTTGTGCTTTTTTTGAGATAATTAGTTGTTGCTTAACCAAATTCATTGGTTAAGTTGGCGGATTATTTCATTTTCGAAGGACACAAGGCTAATCCGAGCAGTTGCGGAAATTCTAACTTCACTAATAAATCGAATGCTTCTATAATTATTTATTCTTCGCTTATGCTAACGGATGTCGACTGCCCACCCACTTGACAAGGAACCAGCATGCGGTTATGGGGATTGAGAATCGTAGATAAGGAATGGTCTAGAGTGGCCGTTATTCCTTGTTCCCTAGCAGGCGGGAATTATACATTTTGAGAACAGTTAGACCTGAAGGGCTAAACATTTGCTAGTAGACAAATAAAAACATTCTGCTTTTTGCCGCAAAGACTAAAAAGTAACCCGTCAGAAATTGAGAAGGTTTTTTCTCGAGAATATCTATCTCAAGAGTCAAAGTAAACGTTGTTCATTCGCCCGTTGTAAGCGAGGATATAAGTTGCGAAACTTCTAAATGCAAGCTAATTGCAGCCCCTGCAATAGTGTATCCGGCCTCTCAGTTTAGGACATCACTCAAAAATGGCCAGTTTATTTTGTTCGGAGTCTGGGAGCAACTGTTGTCCTAGACTCCTCCGATGTCAACCTATGCTTTTCCTTATTTTGGTGATGCAAAACTTGGCGGGCATGTGATTTTTGTCAGAGAACATAAGAAAGCCGGCCGGCTCGGCGAGGAAGAGCTTAGCCGGCTCCCCCATAATCTAAGAAACTTAACCGCTCTCACGCCTTACCAATGAGGTGTCTAAATAAGTGCCCAGCACTTTAGACTCTAAATCCATCCAAGAAGAGAATGTTCTAATATGTAAAACGCAATTTTTCCAACATATCTCCCCATGTTACTTACTTGTACCCGGTACATAGATCTCGAAAGTTATTACCACTATATAATTGCTACATCGTTTATTTAGATAGCATGACATAAATTAGTACGCTTTTTGTGCCTGCTTATGGATTACTGTTGAACAAATTCGGATAACCCAATATTCTATCATCTCACACACAAGAGGGAATTTTGCGGGTTCATTTGTAATCTTTCCCACGTCACTGGTTTTCTGCCTGCCATAGCGGCAGCCAGTAATTGTAAATAGTTTCAAAGCCGGCTTAAAGTGGGCCGAAATAAGCAGCTAATAGTCAAATGGTGTCCGATGGATATTCTACTTCCGGTGGCGATAAACAATTTTCCTTTTACGAGCACTGGGCTTCAGTTATTTCCGGTGGACATTGGTTCTCATATACCCTCATCAAAATAACAGCACCTGGGAAGCTCAAACAAAACGCTAGAGTTCACTATTCATCCTGTTCTATGCGCCGAGCTTTAAGATTGACGTAAATCAAAGAAAAGTGATCGTTGTTCGAAGTCTTACACAAGATCGCTGCCATAGTTACAAAAACCTAATGTGTCCGACTGCATCATAAATTGCGCCTTCACTGAACAAAAAGCGTAGTTAAAATGTGACTTCGTACAAGTTAATCAACTATTACCTTACTTGATAGCTCTAGCCTTATACAGTTCACATAAGTAACTGCAAGGGCACGTAGACTAGCCGACATTCGTATGCCTATTTTCTGTAAGCAGTTTATACCTATGAAAGTATTATACATTTGTTGGTAACTGCTCACCAATCGGTCACGGGACTGCCTCTGTCTTTTCTGCCTTGGGGCTTACTGTCGAGCCCCGCCAG